ATTAATATGAAATCTATTATGGCTTGAAGACTGAGCTGGCCAATGACTTATAAAACTTCCATTCTCAGTAACAATGTGGGAGAAGGCTGGACTGACCCTACAAGACCTACCAGAACCCCAGCTGTGGTTACAGAGCTGTCTATTGTGGCTAACGAGGACAAGTGAAATAATATTGGGATCCTCCCAGTGCCACCCATTTACTAGATGAATGGCAGTTTGCATCCTCCCAATTATTTTAAGAAATGTGTAAAGATCTCTACAGCAATGTTACAATCAGACAAAAAGAAGATAAAGTTTACATGAGTTGCCATGCATACATGTACAGATGTAGGACTGGCATTTCCTAACTTGATCACACTCCTTGCAAGGTATGATTTATGATGATTACAGTGAAGACAGAGAGCTGAATCTGTGCTATGTTGAAAAAGACAGCAACTGTAATATTATCACTATGATACAAACTGTTTACGTGAAACAGCCAAAACATCTTTCCTTTCAAAATATTAAGCTTGATATACCATGAGTTGGTACCATGGCATTGCAAAGGCAAAAGACATAAATGTCACAGAATCACAGAAATATGAATGAAAGAACAAATTGCTATTAGCTCCCAAATACCTCTCACAGAACATAAACACCTATGTGAGCTCAAGTTTCTAAGACTTTTTTAAGAAGCTGGGAAGCAGCTACAGAAGCAGCAGTTAGCTGGGCAAGCACTCATGGAGAAAAGAAAAGAACTGCCAAGTTCTCAAACCCACTAAAAGTCTCCCAAGTGAGGAACTCAGCGAAGCAATCCATGAAGCAAATAAATGTACTTGAGCACTTTCCTCAGCAACTATTATAAATCAACACTACGTACATAGATTAATCATACAGAATCACAGAATGGTAGGGGTTGGAAGGGACCTCTGTGGGTCATCTAGTCCAACACTCCTGCAGCAGGGTCACCTACAGTAGGCTGCACAGGACCTTGTCCAGGCGGGCCTTGAATATCTCCAGAGAAGGAGGACCTCTGGACATTAAGAACAGATGTGGCTGAAGGGAGATGGAGTGATCAAAAGTGAATACAAACAGTTTGGAGGAGCCAGGTAAACTCAATTCAAATATCTTTAAATTGTTTTGTTGAGGAGGAAATACCTGTGGGCAGACTGCGTACCACAGCCTCACGTGCACATTCACATTACACATCCCTTGAAGCCTGCAGGGAAGGATGCCGAGACATTTGTGAATTCCCATGCAGAAGCTGCATTTAAAAGTTATGAAAACAGTATTCTTATCCACGGCTATCAAGGTTCTGAGTAATTGTCCCAGTTACAATTTCAGAAATATTTTTTGACCTCTTGGGATGCCAGTGCTCCCCTGATAACTCCATACAGTAGCATGTTAAACTATATACGACTATCATGAGGCCTAAGAGTTGAAAGTGGCTTTGCCACCACACAGGATGTATTGAGGTTCACCAGCACTGCATTTATCCTGAGGATGAAGCTCTCTATTGGATTACTGATTAACACTGAAGAACTTTGTTTCTGGGACTTACCTTTCTAAACGGATCTTCTTTTTGGCACACAGATGCACCAGAGATTATTTTCACATGGGTCACAATGGTACTCACAATACTTGTGTGCTGTGGGATACACACAGAACAAAGGTTCCAATTTTCTTGCAGCCGAGGGATGCAAGGAGAGTTTTCACACTTGTCCTTTTGTCTTTTTAAGCTTTAATATGCAGTATGCCTCACTTGGCTTCTTTCTTTCGCTGAAGACTCTCAGGCCAAGGAGCACAGCTTTTCCACTCTCTGCAACGTGTGGCCCTCTTAATAGTCTCATACATACACAAACACACTTTGGTTACTCATTTTTCAGATCAAGGAGATCACAGAAGTGGTATCAAAGGATAGATGATGCATTTTACTGCCTAGCTTGTGGCATCTAATTTCTGTTCCAGCTGACTCCCTCCCCCAGCTTCCTGATGTGTTTTATTAGCAGCTGTCTGAAATAATGCTTGAAATCTAAACGAAAAACTCCCAAACCCTGCACAAGTGGATTAATTCCCTGGAAAAAATGACCCTGAGACCCTCCTGTCCTGTGCTCACATTGCAAGAAATACCAAGCTCTGAGCGCCATACAGGCTAATGTGAACTCTGTTCATAGGCTAAAATGTGGCCTCTTTTATAGGAAATAGCATATGATAACCACTAGAGACAGAAGAAAATGATTGTACATGCTGTAGGTTAGAAGCATAAGTAACCAGCACAGGCAGTTAAGCTTCAGCAAGGCTTTAGCTTGCACAGTCCAGGGAACATTAGCTGTGAGAAACTTCACAAGGTAAAAATGAACTGGTCTTTCCATTGACTTCTGCGCTTCAAATGAAATTTGGCCTCTCTACTTAGGTAAGGTAGAAAAGACTTCTTGCCGTAATTCCCAGGTCAATGCCTTTTAGCATCTTTCAAAGCAACCTTTACCTTTAAATTTGAACAGCTATTCACTCTTCTCACATTTATTCTTATTTTCATTTTATATTATACTGCAAATTGAAATAGTTCATACTATTTTATTGCCTGGATTTCCTGTATCATGTCTGTATTGCACCACTCTCTTTAACTACTCCCTATGCAGTGCTTTTAAGTAAAACTGTTTAACTTGCTCTCATGTCAGAGAGGGGCCTGGTTTCTTTATGGCAGCTTGCCTGAACTTCTTGTCTTCCTAGTTCAGCTCTTTGGAGATGAGCCAGAGAGTGAGGGAGGGCAATGGCCCCCCAGTGAAAAGTAGTCCCGGCCATCTTAGGATATACTTGTCCCACTGGGATGACATACCCATTTGCTAGGGTGAAAAGCTATCTGAGGATGACACCGCAGCCATCTGCTCTCCAGGTCATAACCCAGACCTTACAAGGTGCAACAGCTATCATCAACAACAGCAAGAGACTAGGACCCTTTAATGCCAGTGAGCCAAAAGTCTCTCCAGACTCTGCCAGGCTTTGCTCCTATACTAAAAGAAACATTAGCTCTTCCCACTTCTGACTCCTCTACCTAGGGAGAATCTCACAGGAATGTACCTGTCCCTCTGGAGAACTTTTGTGAGAGTGACATAAATCCTTTTCCACTGAACTCTACACCTTAATCAATCAGAGCTTATTTCACAACATAAGGTCCATACAACTTCACTGCACGTACTGAGCCCAAACATACTGTGAACATAGAACCATACTTCTTAGTGAGCTGAAGCAATTTACTGAAAATGAACACAGCCTGTAAGTTACACTTACTTGCCTCAGGCAAGTTATTCTTCAGCTGCAACATGTTTCCTATCAGAGGCAAAGGAAATGGCCCAGGAGGCAGCTTCCCTGTTTCAGACATCTTCCTCCATGCTGAACAGACAAGGAGGCAGACAATGCAAACCAGCAAGAAAATTACTGTGGCTCCCAGGGGTTCCACTGCAATGTGGAATGGGGATATGGGATCAGGAAGGGCTGAAGCTGTACCCTGGAAGCCTCACTTTATGAAGCCTACAGTAAAAACAACAGTGAAAAGGTAACCAACAGCTGCTTTCCTCTCCTCTCAGTTAAAAAAATGGTTAGAAAAAAAATCACTTACTGTCAACAAACTTGAACTGCTTTAAGTCTCTGTGACCTTTTTTAATGTCAGCCGTGTTCTAGTGTAGTATCAGAAAGCAGGGACAAACATTAATCTTTAACAAACCTTGCATTAACAAACCCTGTCATACTTTCATAGCACACTTGTCTTCTGCCTGTTACTATTGCTTATATTTTTGTTGTATTTGCAGCATCCCATCAGCGGACAA